AGGGGAGAGAGATGAGAGAGATGAGAGAAATGACAGAGAGAAATGAGAAAGAGGGATGAGAGAGATAAGAGAGAGATGAGAGAGAGTGGAGAGAGATGAGAGAGAGGGAAAGAGAAAGAGGGATGAGAGAGATAAGAGAGAGATGAGAGAGAGGGGAGAGAGATGAGAGAGAGGGGAGAGAGATGAGAGAAATGACAGGGAGAAATGAGAAAGAGGGATGAGAGAGAAAAGAGAGAGATGTGAGAGAGGGGAGAGAGATTAGAAAGAGGGGAGAGAGATGAGAGAAATGACAGAGAGATAGGGGAGAAATGACAGAGAGAAAAGAGAAAGAGGGATGAGAGAGAAAAGAGAGAGATGAGAGAGAGGGGAGAGAGATGAGAAAGAGGGGAGAGATGAGAGAGTGGGGAGAGAGATGAGAGAGATAGGGGAAATGACATAGAGAAAGAGAAAAGAGGAATGAGAGAGAAAGAGAGAGATGAGAGAAAGAGAGATGAGAGAGAGATGAGAGAATAATAGAGAGAGAGAGAGAAATGAGGGAGAGAAATGAGAAAGAGAGATGAGAGAGAGAGGGAGAGAGATGAGAGAGATGGGAGAGATAGAGATGAGAGAGAGGGGAGAGAGATGAGAGAAATGACAGAGAAATGAGAAAGAGGGATGAGAGAGATAAGAGAGAGAAAAGAGAGAGAGAGATGATGAGAGAAAAGAGAGAGATGAGAGAAATGACAGGGAGAAATGAGAAAGAGGGATGAGAGAGAGAAAGAGGGGAGTGAGAGAGAGAGAGAGAGAAATGACAGAGAGAGATGAGAGAAATGACAGAGAGATAGATAAATGAGAAAAAAAGAGAGAGAAATGAGAGAGAGGAGAGAGATGAGAAAGAGGGGAGAGAAAGAGAGAGATGAGATGAGAGAGAGAGATGAGAGAAATGACAGAGAGAGATAAGAGAAATAATAGGAGAAATGAGAAAGAGGATGAGAGAAAAAGAGAGAGAGATAGAGGGGGAGAGATGAGAAAGAGGGAGAGAGATTAGAAAGGAGAGATGAGAGAAAACAGAGAGAAAAGAGAAAGAGGGATGAGAGAGAAAAGAGAGAGATGAGAGAGAGGGGAGAGATGAGAAAGAGGGGAGAGATGAGAGAGTGGGGAGAGAGATGAGAGAGATGAGAGAAATGACAGAGAGAGATGAGAGAAATGACAGAGAGAGATGAAAGAGAGGAGAAAGATAAGTGACAGTTATGAGGGAGACAGACAGATTAGAGCGATATGAGAGAGGGTGGAAGCGACAGAAAATCTATGCTAGGAGAGAAAAAGTAATAGGGAGAGTTAATTTTTTTTTTCCGACCAAATTTAATAGAAAATTTTGCCTTTTGTTTATTTCTATTTTTCTAGACTAATTAATTTAGCCCCTTTCATATCAATTTTGTCAAGTTTTCATTAAAACAGCGTGACATTAAATTTATCTTGAAATAAAACCTTTCTTTCTATTTAAAACCCCTTTTCATATATATCCGCCATGTTTCTTTTTTCTCTTAATTTTCTTTATAAATATATACAATTTGATAGGGGCATTTTTCTTTAAACTTTTTTTTTTTATCTTTAAACTTACATTTAATCTAAAAATATGGATATTTCTGTGACAAGTTTTGAATGCTTTATGTCCAATCTTTTTCTGTCTTAAGTTAAAATTGTCAGGCTTAGAGGCAGTTGACCAGACATGTCAACAATATGATATTCCCAGCATATCAAACAGACAAAGTGTCAATTATGCAATGCTCAACCCCAACCCATACATTATGGTACCCGTGCATTCAACTGCTCTACAGCATCGCATCTTTTTTTGATTAAGTATTGAATGAATTTTGGCAAGATTGGAGCTGCGCGGTAGGAGTGTGGTTTGGGGTCAAAGAGTAGAGGAAAGCATTTTTTTTTTCAATGGCTGCCATCTGACTCATTTCAAACATGGCCAGTTGCAATGTTCACAGGAAGTAGGATCAACAATGGCAGATGAAGTTATGGCATTGGTTTAGAAAAATTCTATTTGAAATTTTTTTTTTCGTTTTACTTGCAGCTGCTAAGATGCAAATAAGAAAAGAAATAAACACGATTGTGAAATGTGGTGGCGGTGGTGGTGGAGAGGATAATGTGGGAAGAAATGAAGGAGAAGAGGCGGATGAATAAGTTTCTCTTTAAAACGTTTAAATTTGTTATTTTTATGCTTTATTGGGACAAAAAGAAACAGAGCAAAAAAGGGAGTAAGAAAAACAATACTCGAAGCAAAAAAAAAAAAGTAGAGATTAAGAAAAGAGGAAGAAAAAGAACGAATGAATAGAGGGAAGGTATGAAAAACAGAAAGAATGATAATAACACAGAAATTTTAAAAAAAGAAAGAGAAAACGAGAGAATAAATGGAAGAAGAGATCGTGAATGAAAATAAAAAGAAGGAGGCAAAATAAAGAACAAGGAAAGAAAAATAAGAGCACAGGTAAAAGAAAGCAAAAGGAAAAATGAACAAAAAAGAAAGAAATTAATACATATAGAGATAATGTTAAGAAAAGAAAGAAAAAGAAAGAAAGGTAAAAAAAAGTACTAAACGTAGCCAATTAGATAAAGGAAATCAAATGAATAAAAAAACTGAAGAAAAAAACAAGCAAAAAAAAACACAAAGAAGAAAATAGAATTAAGTGAAAGAATGAATATATAAGGAGAGTAAGACAGAAAAAAATACAGTTTACTAAGTAGAAATACAGTTTTACTAAGTGGTCTGGTATAAGGCCACGCATATAGAGTACGAAGTGTTGATCGAGATTTTTATATCTGTAAGAGAAACTGGTTAACCGTGAATCGCCATGCTGAAGCGACAATAAAAAAGATTAATTTAAAACTATAAAGAGAAGGAAAGATGATAGAAAGTAGAAAACTGAAAAGGAAAGAAAAATAACTGATAAGTAAGGAAGTTATTCCATCATAAGAGAAACGGAAGGAAGGAATTAAAAAAAATAGAATCATGTATGAAAAAATTTAAAAAAAAATACAAGAAAGAAGTTGAAGAAGAGGTCGTGAATAAAAATAAAAAAGAAGGCAAAATCAAGAACAAAGAAAAAGAGGGACAAAGAAAAGGGAAGGAAAAATAACAAAAAGAAAGAAATGACTGCATATAGAGTTAATGAAAAGAAAGAAAAAAGAAAGAAAGATAAAAGATACTACAGGTAGAAAGAAAAAAGAAAGAAAGGAAGAAAGAAAGTTAAAGGTTACTACACGTAGAAAGAAAAAAGAAAGAAAGTAAAAAAGTTACTGCACGTAGAAAGAAAAAAGAAAGAAAGGATGAAAGAAAGTTAAAAGTTACTACACGCAGAAAGAAAAAAGAAAGAAAGGATGAAAGAAAGTTAAAGGTTACTACACGTAGAAAGAAAAAAGAAAGAAAGAAAGAATAACGTGGAAGTATAAACGGAAAACGTATAAATTAAAGTGTTTATAAAAGTTGAAAAAGAAAAAGAGGAACACATTAAGAAAGAGAAAAAAAAAAGCAATAAAGTAAGAATTAGTCAAGAATAAAAAGGGCGTAACAAAGAAATAAGGAAGACAAAGGCAAATGAAAAAAAAAAGAGAATAAAGATAAAGAAGTGGAAGAAAAGAAAAGTGAAAGAAAGAACGAAGAAGAAAAGAACTGAAAAGAAAAAAAAAGAAGGAATAATAAAGGAAGTGGGGGGTGAAGAAAAATAAAACAAGATTAACGAAAAAAGTGAAGATGAAGCAAAGAAAGCAAGTATAAAGAAAAAGTACTGTAAAAAAAGAAAGAAAAGAAAATGACTAAGAATAAATAAAGAAAAAAACTGAACAAAAAAAGAAACGGAGAAGGAATGAGGAAAAAAAAAAAACTGAGAAAGAAAGAAATGAGAAAAAGACCTGAAGAAGAAAAAAGAAATGGGGTAAGAATGAAGGAAAAGAACTAAAAAAGAAAGAAAATGAGAAAAATGAAGAATAAAAGAAAGAAAAAAACAAAGAATAAAGAAAAAGAATTGTGAATGAAGGAAAGAAACGAGAAAAAAGATTGACGAACAAAAAAGAAAAAAAAAAGAACTGAAGATAAAAGTATTTAAAGAAAATGAATGCATAAAAAGAAACATCACAGGAAGGAAACATGAAAAAAGGGGGGAGAAAATGAAAGAAAGAAAGGAGAAAATGAAAGAAAAGAAAAAAAGAAAGAAAGAAGGGAGAAAATGAAAGGAAGAAAACAGAAAATGAAAGAAAGGAGGAAGAAAATGAAAGGAAGGAGGGCGAAAATGAAAGAAAGAAGGGAGAAAATGAAAGAAAGGATGGAGAAAATGAAAGAAAGGAGGGAGAAAATGAAAGAAAGAAAAGAAAAAAGAAAGAAAGAAGGGAGAAAATGAAAGGAAGAAAGAAAACAGAAAATGAAAGCATATAAAAGATAAGGGGAAAAACTTAAGAAAAAGACTGCGTAAAGATTAAAGGGATTTAAAGAAATAAAAAAGAAGAATTAGTAATTTGCAGGATGGATTCTAGAAAATTCTTGAAAACTGAATGAGTTTGTTGAAAGCAGCATCAAGTATGAGTAATGTGGTTTTTTTCTCAATATATTGATAATAAAAAGTAAATGAGAAAAATGAAAAATAAGAACAAAGTTGAAGTAACAGACAGAATAAGGATTCGTCTGGCAATTCTCAAAGAATCTTAGACAAAGAAAAGAAGATTTCCTGTCGCTTTGGGCCAAGAGGTTTTTTTAATGTTTAATTTGTGTTTTACTTTTTTATGCTTTTATGCTGGATTCGCCAATTTTTATTTTTGCATTATTTTGCAGCGTAGTCCTTCCTGGCTCACAAGAGCATTTGTCGCATTCCCTACATTTAACATCTGTTCACTTGTTGAAATCCACTGAAATAGGGAGGGAGGGTGTAAAGAGAGAGAAAGATAAAAAGAGAGAGAAAGGAATAATCGGAAATAAGAGTGTAGGAAATACAGTCGAAGAGAGAGCGAGTGAGAAAAAGGCAAAAAAAGCAAGAAAAAGAAAGAGAGTGGTGTAAAGAGTGAAAGAAGTGAGTAGAAAGTAAGCATTAGAAACAAGAGTGTGAGAAATACAGTTCAAGAAAGAGAGTGTGTGTGTGCGTGAGAGAGAGAGAGAGAGAGAGAGAGACAGGCAGACAGTGAGAGGGTGAGAGAAAGAAAAGGGCAAAAAACAGGGGAAAGAAAGGGTTAGGTGAAAAGAGTAGAAAGGTGAGAAGAATCAGAGAGAAAAGAAAGTTGGAAATATAGTAGAAGATATAGTGAAGGAAGAAGGGGGAGAAACAGGGGACGAAAAGAGAGAGTTGTATAGAGAGAGGAAGATGAGTATAAAGAGAGATTAAGAGAGAAAAGACACTGTCGAATAGAGTCAAAGAGAGAGAGAGGGAGAGAGAGAGCGAATAAAAAAAGGTAATAAATAGAAGAAAATAAACGAGGGAGAAAGATGAGTAGAAAGAGAAAGGCAAAAAGAAAAGACACTGAGAAACGGAGTAAAAGAGAGAGAGAGAGAGAGTGATGGGGGGGGGGCGAAAAAATGAAAAGAAGAAGGAAAGAAATACAGAGAGAGAAAGAAGAGTAAAAGGGGAAAGTAAGAAATAAAACAACGTTACTGAGTCGAAGAGAGCGAATGAAAAAGTAAAGGAAGTCGAGAGGAAGAAAACGAGGAGTATTGAGAAAGAGAGAGAGAGAGTTGAGAGAGAGAGTTGAGAAAAAGATGAGTCAAGAAAGAAAGAGTCAAAAAGAAGAGACGATGAGATACAAAGCGAGAGGTATAAAGAGAGAGAATTAGATGAGTAGAAGAATCCGAAAGGAGAGCCACTGAAAAACAAAGAGAAAGCGAGAGAAAAAAAAATAGTAATAAATAAAAGGAAAGAAAAAGGGAGTTGTAAGGTGGGAGGAAGACGATTAGAAAGAGAGAGAGAGGCAAAACGTAGAGACATTAGAAAACATAGCCGAAGTGAGAAACATAGTGAAAAGGAAGCGGATAGAAAGAAAGAAAGAAAGAAAGAAAGAAAGAAAGAAAGAAAGAAAAAAGAAAGAAAGCATGAAGAAAAACAAAATAGATTTGTTTATATGGGATGTTGAGAGACAGAAGCGCAAATATTGATGGCGAAATCTCAAATGACGGAAGTAGAAAGAAAGAGATAAAGAAACCAGGTAAAAAGCATAAGCGTGAGAGAAGATACAAAGAAGCAGACGATAGAAAAAAAGAAAATTAGATATAGGGAGAATTAGAGGAAACGAGAGAGAGAGAGAGAGAGAGAGAGAGAGAGAGAGAGAGAGAGAGAGACAGGCAGACAGTGAGAGGATGAGAGAAAGAAAAGGGCAAAAAACAGGGGAAAGAAAGGGTTAGGTGAAAAGAGTGAGAAAGATGAGTAGAAAGGAAGAATCAGAGAGAAAAGAAAGTTGGAAATATAGTAGAAGATATAGTGAAGGAAGAAGGGGGAGAAACAGGGGACGAAAAGAGAGAGTTGTATAGAGAGAGGAAGATGAGTATAAAGAGATTAAGAGAAAAAGACACTGTCGAATAGAGTCAAAGAGAGAGAGAGGGAGAGAGAGAGAATAAAAAAAAAGGTAATAAATAGAAGAAAATAAACGAGGGAGAAAGATGAGTAGAAAGAGAAAGGCAAAAAGAAAAGACACTGAGAAACGGAGTAAAAGAGAGAGAGAGAGAGAGAGAGAGAGAGAAAGAGAGGGGGGCAAAAAGAAGGAGAGAAACAATACTGAAACAAGATAAAAAAAAAGAGCAGACGAGAAAGTAGTCAATGGATTTAAATATGAGAGCACTCCAATGTGAAGGTCTGCTGACAGATCACAATTCTTCTATTCTTCTGGGTTTGTTAAGAAATTTTAGTTTTTGTTCTTTTTTTCTTTCTTTTCATGAAACGTGCTTAGAAAAAAAAAACACAATGTTTAAAATCATTTTGGTGCATGTTATAGAAATCAGAAGGAAGTTTTCCCCGAAGAACTAGGGAAGGAAATAAAAGACACCTGTACCATTCTTCTAGACCGGCACCTTCATATAAAACATATTGAAAAACTTGAACAGGCAATTTATATCAATTGGATCTATTAAGTTTATTGTTCATCAGAGTGTAAAAGATAACTTTCAACTTTACGCAATAATTTTCAGGAAAAGAATTTTTATAAGGTCGTCAGTACAGGAATACCTCGATTAATGCGCATTCGATTAATGCGCACTCGATTAATGCGCTTTCGATTAGTGTGCTTAAATTTTTATATACCAAAATTTGATTAGTCATACATAACACTCAATTATTGCGGTAAAATATTCTTCAGTTTAACCATAGTAATTGAAAATTGACTTTTTTTTTATAGTTACCGATTAATTAAAAATTTTCTAGGGTTTAAAAATGGGTAACTATTTTTGTCAATTTTGTTTATAATCGATTAAAGCGTTTTCGATTATTGCGTATTTTTTAATGAACAAATTAGCCGCATTAATCGAGGGATTTCTGTATACGTAAATATATTCCCAATAATAATAATAATAATAATAATAATAATAATAATAATAAAGCAAAAGCAAATGCAACTGACCAGATACAAAAACGATGGCAAGATAAACCGCTTCACGGTCAATACTTTGCCCGTACCAAACAAACTGATGTAGACAAACCCCGTAGCCATCAGTGGCTACGTAGTGCAGGGTTGAAAGCTGAAACGGAAGGTTTTATCCTTGCTGCACAGGACCAGTGCTTGTGAACTAGAAATTATCAAGCACACATAGTAAAAATTTTGTTAGCCCAAAATTCAGATTATGTGATAAAAAAAAACAAACAAAAAAATAACTGACCATCTTGTATGAGGTTGTATGGTATTGGCACCAACTGAATATAAAACCCGGCATGACAGAGTGGGCCAATATCTGCACTGGAAAATCTACAATTTCTACGGATAGTAAACTCTAAGAGATTGGTATGAGCACCACCCAGACCCGGTTACAGATATAGGACCTGTAACAATTTTATGGGACTACACAATGCACATATACAGAACAATCACAGCTAACCACCCAGACATTGTTATTAAAGACCGCAAACAAAAAAAAATGCCTCCTTATTGATATGGCAGTCACTGCAGACTGCAATGTATTTATGAAGATTTTCAAAAAGCTATCAAAATACGAGGACCTTGAAATCGAAATTTCAAAAATGTGGCACATGGGAACATCAACAATTCCAGTTGTAGTTGGAGCCCTCGGATTGATTGGAAAAGATTTCAATAGACTCATTGAAGGGATTCCCAGAAACCCATGCCTTAAAGAAATATAAAAAGAATGTTCTCACGAGTACAGCCCACACCTTACGAAGGGCTTTATCTATGTAAAATATGTGTGTGTGTGTTTGTGTGTTTTAAATTGCTCAGTGGAAAATGTCATGATGCCATTTCTAACCTTAGGTCTCTGGGCGGGACCCGGAAAATGAGTACACACCAGAAATCAAAGGAAATATAATAATAATAATAATAATAATAATAATAATAATAATAATAATAATAAAAAAGCAAACACAATAAACCAAATGCAGAAACGATGGCAGCATAAACCTCTGAATACTCTGCCCAAACCAAACTAGTTGATAGAGACAAACCCCATATTCACCAGTGGTTATGTACTGCATCGTTACGCCGTTAAACGGAAGGTGTTATTCTTACTGTACATGACCAATCTTTGCTAAATAGAAATTACGAAGCACACATACTGAAAATTTGTGTTAACCCGAAACGCAGAGTCTGTGATAAATATCCAGAAGCAATTGAGCATCTCGTATCAAGTTGCACGGTGTTAGAACCAACTGAATATAAAACTCGGCATGATAGAGTGGGTCAATATCTGCACTGGAAAATATGCAACTTTTATGGAAAGGAGACTGCAAGAAACTGGCATGAACATCACCCCCAACCCGGTTACATAGATAGAACCTGTAACAATTTTATAGGACTTCACAATACACACAGACTGAACAATCAAAGCTAATGACTTAGACATCGTGATCAAAGACCATAAAAACAAAATTTGCTTTATTGTTTACATAGGAGTCCTTGCAGGTTGTAATGTATCTTTGAAGATCTTCAAAAAACTATCAGAATACAAGGGTCTTGAAGTGGAAATCTCAAAAATATCATTATCATCATACCTATGTCCGTGTATGGTGACAGGGTCGCTGTGCAAATTTTAATCAGTACCCTTCACATTATCTGGGTTAGAAAGCCAGACAGGTATTAATTAGTACGTCGCGCGTCTTGGGCAAGTCAACCTACTGGGGCTCATCACTCTCTAGGTCAACAGCAAACAAAGTTGATGTCCTCCAGCAAGAAGGTTCACCTTGGTCACGGACCGTGGATTACATCGGTGTGTGTGGATGTAGGAGGTGGGGTCGGCCTTGACCGTTGATTTCAGTCTAGGAAGCCTAGATATCATCACCTCATGACCCTTTTCCTGAAAATGACTTGATTAGACAAACTTAGAAAACATGTCTGTTCAGAACGTAGAGTGTCTTGGACAACGAGACCTGTCGGGCCCATCCCTCGTCTGCTTATGCCACAACTGATGTCCTCCAACTTGTACGTTCACTTTGGCCAAGGATATGTAGCCGTTGATTACAGCAACGGTCACGTCCTCCTCTTCCGAATCTATACTTTACTACAACCTCAAATTTCATAAGGTACTATTCATATAAAATACAAATTTTATTCTAACCTAATTATGTACAATAATGGATCATATGTAATATAGGTGAAAAATTCAACTAGAAAAACTGAAAATTAATACAATGTATCTAAATAAAAATTAGAGACATTCCAAATTAAATAATTCAATTAATTTTGCGGCGATTTTTAACATCATCTTGAGATTTTTTCTAAGACTTAGCATGAACAAAACAAATTCGCGGATTTGGACGAAAAAAAAAAAAAATCCATGATGACGTCAAAATTCGAAAATGTTTCATCCCCTAATAGCCAGTTGAGCTTAGTTTAATTTCTAACGTATTTAAATGTAGGTAAAAAAAAACAAATATTGATGAGACAGCGAATGTCACAAAGCACTCCTCGGGGTCCCATTCAGACTTGCCCATAAAAACTGATATCCCGCTAAACAAAAACAACGAACCAACCCCTTTGTCTACCATATGTCCTGTGAGTGTTAAATTTTCCAAGTCTTCTTTTCTCATTAGATGCTCTAGAAATTTCAATTGCTTCTTTCTGATTGTAAGTATAAGTGTACTTTTTGTTTCCATTTTCTCGAAAACGTCGTCGTCGTTCACGGGTTCAGTGTTTAGTATTCTCAGCATCCTTCTGTAGAATCACATTTCTGTTGCCTCAATGATATGTAGCCATTTATTACAGGATCAGTGCAAGGGTCACGTACTCCTCTTTCGAATCTATACTTTGCTACAACCTCAATTTTCATAAGGTACTATTCATATAAAATACAAATTTTATTCTAACCTAATTATGTACAATAATGGATCATATGTAATATAAATGAACAATTCACTTAGGAAAATTGAAAATAAATACAATGTATCTAAATAAAAATTAGAGACATGTCATAATATATCCTTAAATAAACCAACAATGTTTTTCGGCAATCTTTAACATCAACTTGAGATTTTTCTTATTAAAAACTTGAATAATTTTAACATATTCAACATTATGGATAAAAAATCGTAAATTTTATATAGTGTTTTTTCAAGACATAGCATGAGCAAAACAAAATTCAAGGATTTGGAAAAATAAAAAAGACTGATGTTTCAACATGATGTGGTCGTTAACACAATGTCTCAAAGATAGGGCCGGCGCGTACTACCCCAAAACCTCTTAAATCCATTTCTTGAGTAAACGCATTCACCTTCTTTAGGATTCATATTTTGAATGTCCTATGTTTTAGGAGAAATTTTAGCCCATAAAAGATAGTAGATATTTTTTTTCGTGTAGCTTTCACTAACCTACATTATCCCCGAGATATTTTTGCGTCGTGTCGTATAAAATACCACTTTGACTTTCTTTTCGTTTTCTCATACGAATTGTCTTCCTGGATCAATAACCAATTCATTGCTCGAGTAAGAAGACTCGGAACTAATAAGTAAATTATTCCAGGACAACATGTTATTTCACAGCTTTCATCAGCGTCGATGAATCCATCTTGAATAATTATCTAATTTCCTATCAGAGTAATAAAACCGAGAATAAAGAAATTTATTACGTTATATATCGTTGAATGATCCTAATAGTGAGTGGGCGATTTTCGATCTAATCAGCTGCATTTGTATGGTGGACAATAAACACATAATGGTTCTCGGAACTTTTTTTTTTTATCTAGTATCTAAAAAAATTATTGGTAGAAGGATAAACGCAAGAGAAATAATATCTGATTTAATATTAAGCATTTTCTTTTGGGCTTATCATGTTTTGTTTTCATATCATATCTCCCTCATTTTTTATTCTCGCATCCGAATGGATGGCTCTGCTGAGCTATTTATTTTTCAAACATGCCCACTAGTATTCCCGACACGAGTTGATTTTATTTTCAGTTTTATTTTTAAACTTGTTAATTAAAACCATGTCGTTTTTTCTAATCTCCATTTTCTCCTTTGTTTGTCCCGAAATTAAATTAATTTTTAATGAATTTTTCAACCTACCCTTCTATTCCGGGCATAATATTAGACATTCACTCCTCATTTCCGGACTTTATATTAGACATCCACTCCTCAACTCCGGACTTAATGTTAGACATCAATCCCTAAGTTAGTGAACTTAATGTTAAACATCCATCCCTCAATTCTGGGTTTAATATTAAATATCCACCCCCTCAACTCCGAATGTAATATTAAACATCCACTCTTCAATTCCGGACTTCATATTAGATATTCACACCTGAACACCAGCCTTAATATTAAAAATCGACCCCTCAACTCCGGACATACTATTAAACATCCACCCTTCAATTCCGGTCCTAACATTAGATATCCACTCCTCAAATCGGGTCTTGATATTAGAAATCCAAACATTCAATTCCGGACTTGATATTAAGCATCCACCTCTCAACACCGGACTTAATATTAAGCATGCACCTCTCAACACCGGACATAATATTAAACATCCACCCTTCAATTCCGGTCCTAATATTGGATATCCACTCCTCAAATCCGGTCTTGATATTAGAAATGCAAACATTCAATTCCGCACTTAATATTAAACATTTACCTCTCAACACCGGACTTAATATTAAACATTTACCTCTCAACACCGGACTTAATATTAAGCATCCACCTCTCAACACCGGACTTAATATTAAACATTTACCTCTCAACACCGGACTTAATATTAAAAATTTACCTCTCACCACCTGACTTAATATTAAGCATCCACCTCTCAACACCGGACTTAATATTAAGCATCCACCTCTCAACACCGGACTTAATATTAAGCATCCACCTCTCAACACCGGACTTAATATTAAGCATCCACCTCTCAACACCGGACTTAATATTAAGCATCCACCTCTCAACACCGGACTTAATATTAAACATCCACCCTTCAATTCCGGACCTAACATTAGACATCAACCTCTCAATTCCGGACTTAAAATTTAGGTATCCACCCGTCAGTTCCGGATTTAATATTAGATATCCACCCCTTATTATCGGACTAGATATTCGACATCCACCCCTCAACTCTGGACTTTATATTAGACATCAACCCCTCGATTTCGGACTTAATATTAGATATCCACACCTCAATTTAGGACTTGATATTAGACATCCACCCCTCATCTCTGGACTCAATACGAGATATTCACCCCTTCCAGACTTAATAGTAAACATCCATATCTTTAGTTACGTCACATTTTATAAAAAATATTTTCTTTTTCTAATTTTCAAATATTTCTTTGAACCAAAATGATTCTTTTTTTCTATTCTTTTATAATTGCAATATAACTTTTTCTCATATACACACACACATATATATATATATATATATATATATATATATATGCTGATTTTTATTAGATCATCGCTTTTCTGTGAAATATTTTATTTTTATGAAATAGACGTTTTCTTTTCTTTTTTTTTAAATCAATTTCTGGCGCGCATTTTCCATTTCCTTTATTGCTTTCGGTTATTTAATGTTTTTGCTTTCGCACGGCTAGTTTCGCTTCTTCTACCGAAAAAGTGTATTTTCTTTGTTTATAGTAATTTTATTAAATTTCGTAGATATATCTTTTTAATAGGTTTACTTTTATCTACATTAATCCCAGTATCTTAATGTCCCTCGCTATAATAATACATTTTATTTTTTTGATATATTTTATTGCGATTGGCATAATCGTAGCTTTACGAAGTTTCATTTCGTATAATTACAGATTTTTATATCTTTATGCATGTAGTAAGGAATATACGTGTATATAATGCATACATGCATACACACACAGACACATGTGTACGTGCATGTATGCGTGCCCCTTTATGCATTTTGACTGAAGCAATTACTTTTCCGTCGAGTATATATATATATATATATATATATATATATATATATATGATTTATTTTACTTGCGGGAAAAGATTGAGATGCTATTTTATTCCAAATGATTTACACCGACACCCACACGATGTCCATATGTACGAAGGAGAGGATGGATCAATAAATCCGTGGCCTGCTATCTGCTAATTTTGGATAAGAAATATTCACTATGTAATGTCCAGTCTATGTAATCGATAGAGGATTAAGTTGAAAATACAGATTTGGAATTTAAAATAAATAATTTTTTCATCGTTTAGCGGCAGACTTTTGTTTTGTTTGGCGGTATATCAAATTTTTACTGTAAGGTTCGCCCTATATAAGGCCTGGGGATCACTTGAGGTAAAGAGTTACGTTAACATGCAGTTTATACGAATATATGAGGGGAAGGTAACTGTTGTGTCGTGGCACAATAGTAAAAATAAGAAAATCAAGTCGAAGTTGGGTTAAGGAACAAGTGTATTTAACATCACAGATACAAAGGTAGGAAACGGGTACTACTCAGCTAGGCAGTTGTAGTACTGTCGCTGCTTACCCCGGGTAGGTATTACTGGCAACTATATATAGTGAGAACCGGTGTAATTCCCTTGTAACAGTAACTGTTAAACCTAAACTTGAACAGGTTAAGATTGCAATGATCGGGTAACCATCCTTTTGGGAATCGGTTCCACACTACAGGGGTTTGGCAGAGCAGTAAGTTCACGGGTGGAAGCTGTTCGAGTGGAACTTACTTCTCACCGATGGCAGGTCCTAGCTACGAAAGTTAGCACTGGCGGAACCAAGGAATCGAAATCGTCTGAGAACGTTCCAGAGAAGTAGCGAGAGAGTATCGAGAGGCTTACCTCATTCCTTCTGTCAGAGTGAGAGAGAGAGAGAGAAAGAGAGAGAGAGAAAGAAAGAGAGAGAGACAGAGAGAGAGAGAGAGAGAGACAGAGAAAGAGAGAGAGAGAGAGAGAGAGAGAGAGAGAGAGAGAGAGAAGCCGGAGTGTGGAAAATAAATCCTCCCCTACAAGGACTCAGAGATGCTTTTGAACTATGTTAAACCTGGAAAGTGGGAACTAGGCCGCTCCCGCCCAAACATGACAACAGTACACCATTTTCGGCTTGATCTGGCTCTTGCAAGAGGATAGCATCAGAAGTCAAGAATGTACTGGAGCAGTACAGGAAGCCGATCATTTTAACTGCATCTTTAGCGATGGATCGTATGTACGAATTCCATTTGAGGCCAGGAGTGAGTTTAAGACTTAATAGTCTCTCAATGCATGGTGTTTCCCTGAGAAAAATTCCGTTCTGGCGATGATGGCATGCAACTAGGTTTGTTCATTGGGTTATTTAATCTAAAGATTTTGTACGCGATTTTATTTATTTATATTAGAGTTCTAGTGATACAAGTCTTACTAATTAACCCATATCTGGGGGAGAAAGTGTGGACTTTTGCTTTCTTTTCATGAAACGTACTTAGGAAAAAAAAAACAACGTTTAAAATCATTTTGGTGCATGTTATAGAAATCAGAAAGAAGTTTTCCCCGAAGAACTAGGGAAGGAAATAAAAGACACCTATACCATTCTTCTAAGCCGGCACTTCCATATAAAACATATTGAAAAACTTGAACAGGCAGTTTATATCAATTGGATCTATAAAGTTTATTGTGCGTCAGAGTGTAAAAGATAACTTTCAACTTTATCTAATCATGTTTTATGCAATAATTTTCAGAAGAATTTTTATAAGGTCGTCAGTATATATAAATATATTCGTAATAATAAATAAATAAATAATAATAATTTATTTAATCATTTCACCTCGAGCCAGGGGCGGAAATGCCACTAACACGCAAGGGGTTACAGAGGGGGGGGGGTGAACAAGAGAAAAGAGGCATGTGTGAGGAAAGGATAAAGAGAAGGACGGAGAACTAACTCAAGGTATCAGAAGATGCCGATTGACATTACATTTGAATATTTGAAGACTATAGCTATCAGGGAAGCTAGTAAGAGGAAGAGAGTTCGACTGTCGGGAAGTGCGAGATAAGAAGCTGTTGGAGTACATGAGACGGCTACATTTAATCTTTTCGACAGTGAAAGGGAGGTCTCGAGATGCCAACCTAGTAGCACGCTTAAATTCTTGCAGCTTGGGAACCAGCGAAAGTAGCTCGTCAGAGCAGTTGCCGTGAAAATACTAGTAGAAAAGACAGAGGGAAGCAACAGCACGTCTGTGAGAAAGTGACTGGAGCCTAGACGCCAGATCAGGACCCATAACATTGCATATCCGTCTCTGGATTCTGTCGAGGACCGTGAGACGAATAGCGGGGGGGGGCAGACCATAAATGGTAGCAGTATTCCATGCAAGGACGAATGGTTAATAATAATAATAATAATAATAATAATAGTTTAGTGATACAAGTGTTACTAATTAACCCATAGCTGGCGGGAAGACATGGATTTATACCTTTCCCAAGGGTATTTGCGCGTAAGCGAATATAACGAACACAACTGGATTTGGAACTCGGCTCTTCGGTTAACAATTCCGAGCCATTATCCATTATACAAGGCGCATATCCAAGCTAACAATTCCTGTTATTCCCAAGTGGTCACCCATCTAGATACTGTCCAAGCTTAAATTCGGTGATCGTACAGTTTGAATGTGATGTTGCCGTAAACTCATTGATGTCTACTTAAGTGCCTAATACAGAAGAAAGTCTTAACACTTTATTAAATTTTTAATAGTTTTTTCTTCTTAATGTGCAGTAAACGTTACTGGTGGTGGTGTTAATAAATTTAATTTTTGAAATTTAGCATATGGAAGGAACTGAGTACGTTTAAAATCTAATTCCGAGAACAAAAATTGTTCTTACACTTTACAGATTATAGTGTTTGAAAGTGTGAGTTGTGTGATGGCTAACGGGTCGGAATGAAAAATCGGACAATTGAATTCGAATTTCAGTCGAGTTTGTTCCATTCCCTAACGCGCCAATATTCTTGGGAATGGTATGAATCCATCTCTTCTCCTCGATTCCTAGCTAAAAAAAATAACAGGACAGACGGGGTTTTATAGCCTTGGTTGGCGACTAGTCTATCGGAGAATGTGAAGGTATTCTACTGTGAGAATTCTTCTACCAAGCCAGTCATGAATCGAAATGACGCTTAAAGAAATAAATGTTTTAATATTTAGGAAATTACACTGAATAGGGGAATAAATTTTGTCCTGCGCAATTTTTGTTAGCGTTATTCGAAGTTGGCTGAGACAAAAAAGCAGAGAAAATATAGCAAGATTTTTTTAAATAAATATCTGTATGGAGGCACGGTGGAGTAATGATAGCAGCTTGGATTGATGAATCAGAGAGCCGAGTTCGAATTCCAGTCGAATCCATTGCATTCACTTACGTGCCTGGGAAAAGGTCTAAATCCTCTTCTCCCCGCCCCCTAGCTGTTGCTAAATAGCAGGACAAGCCGGATTCTGTAGCCTTGGATGGCAACTGGTCTACCGCAGAAAGAAATGGCAAACGATTGCGGGGAAAAAAAATCTGCCTCGTCAGTCATGTGTCGAAATATACATGATCCCCTACGCGTGTATCACGCATGGCACATAACTGACTGACTAGACTGGCAGTTAGGTCTCATCATTTTTCAGTTGAAAAGACTAGATACGTGGCGTTAGGACAAAGTGAAACCAGTGCTGAAATCCTGTCACACTGCTTTACTGTCAGAGTGAATATAGCGCGAATATATCAATTGGAAAATGTTCCAAAAATATAAAATGACGGTTTGCGAGATTATTGTGATATCTGCATGAATACATCTCGTGTAAATTTCGACAAAAGCATATTCACCAAAAAGAGCCATGTCTGCGCAAGAAAGCCTTTATTACACCCTTGGGCAAATTAACTGAAACAACCGCTTTAGTTTCATTTCTGTCACCATACTGTCAGTTTTAGACCCACTGGGGTGA